TGCTTAAAGTAAGAATGGATACAAAAAACACACACCAATGAATAATCTTACTTCAAACAGTGTATATTGATGCTTTTAATGGTGTTTAGATACAGAAAAACAAACATCAATGAATAGTGCAGCTGTAGAATCATCATCATCAGACATTGTAAGTACTAGTGCTTGGTTTATTGGGATGATGTGTGCATTAGCACTTTTGTTCCTGATTTTTTTTCTTGTGTGTCTGGTTAAACGGAATCGAGGAGGAAAGTACTTTGTACGTGAGAAACAGGCTGCCCACGGCCGTGATCTGGACTATCCAGATGATGGTGGTTTCAACGAGTATGGCAGATCGTAAGTAGTAGCAGTTATGGAAGTTTTAAAAACAGTGATAATGTGATTAGATAAGAACAGAAGTTTTTAAAAACAGTGATAATGTGATTAGATAAGAACAGAAGTTTTCAAAAACAGTGATAATGTGATTAGATAAGAACAGAAGTTTTTAAAAACAGTGATAATGTGATTAGATAAGAACAGAAGTTTTTAAAAACAGTGATAGTGTGATTAGATAATTACAGAAGTTTTCAAAAACAGTGATAGTGTGATTAGATAAGAACAGAAGTTTTTAAAAACAGTGATAGTATGATTAGATAAGAACAGAAGTTTTTTAAAACAGTGATAATGTGATTAGATAAGAGCAGAAGTTTTTAAAAACAGTGATAGTATGATTAGATAAGAACAGAAGTTTTCAAAAACAGTGATAGTGTGATTAGATAAGAACAGAAGTTTTTAAAAACAGTGATAATGTGATTAGATAAAAACAGTGATAGTATGATTAGATAAGAGCAGAAGTTTTTTAAAACAGTGATAATGTGATTAGATAAGAGCAGAAGTTTTTAAAAACAGTGATAGTATGATAAGATAAGAGCAGAAGTTTTTAAAAACAGTGATAATGTGATTAGATAATTACAGAAGTTTTTAAAAACAGTGATAGTGTGATTAGATAATTACAGAAGTTTTAAAAACAGTGATAGTATGATAAGATAAGAGCAGAAGTTTTTAAAAACAGTGATAGTGTGATTAGATAAGATAAGAATTTCAGTGAAAAGCGAGATTTTATTGCCCTTCGTAATAAAATTATTAAGTAAGGACATAAGTTCAAAAGTGAGTACAGTAATTGTATAAGTAGATTATCTATACAGTACTGTAGGAAAAATTTATTCTTCAGTAACACAGATAACTTTAAAACCCTGAGTTACATCAATTCTAGGAATCGGAATCCACAGGCTCCTGATCCAACTTCCGTTAATAGCAGTTTGAAGGGTCCAGAGAGTGAAACAGACAGCATGGGTGACTTTGGAGAGGGAGAAGCTGGTCAGTTTGCAGAAGATGGGTCATTTATTGGCCAGTATAGTGCCAAAAAGAAGAAATCTGAAGAAACAACTGCACCTTCTGCTTTAGCCACCTTTGTGTAAAGTGTAGTGATTTCATTAAGTATGAGTGGCTTGATGAACAAATGTAACATTCAGCCAAGTTAGTTGTGAGGGTGTAGTAGAACTAAGATTTTGATATCGTTGAAGGTCCACGAGCAGTACATTAGTGTTTCACTCACCGTTTTTATTGGTTGTGGTCTAGAGGTGTATCATATAATACGCATATATATGGTTCTTATATTTTAATATTTTTATATAGAAAATGAGGCTGTACAAGACGTATATCCATTTTACTCTTTTTAAAGTGTTTACATAACAGCACTCTAGTATCAAATGTAAATTCTCTACATTTGAAATTGTGCAGAATTTGTTTTTGTGTAACGTTTTACATAAATATATGAAAAAATGCTGACTGCCATTGTTAAGCAGTGTTAATCTTGTATTCAAAGGTATCTCAATCCAAGTGTGTTTATTTTTGTACTTATTCATGGTTTGAAAGAATCCAAATTATTGCTGTGAATCTCATTCGATTTGTACAAATATTATTAACAGATCTCAACTTTCTATTACAGTAATAATTCCACAATTAAATGTTCATTGATAAAAAAAAAACAGTTATCCTTTTTCATCTTGATGTGATTTATTGTTTTTTCGAAGATTTATTCTATTAAAAGAAATGGGTCAAACCCTAGAAAAAAACGTAGGTATGCAGTAAGTTTGACCTAGCTTCATTTTCAGTCTGGAGGTCACAGGGTCAAATCCTGTCACTGAATAGCTTTGGAGGGCATTATAACACAACTGTCAGTCCCACTATTCATTACTAAAAAAAAAAGTAGTCCACAAGTTGGGTATGGGTGGTGTTGACTAGCTGTCTTCTCTCTATCACTTCAATAGCTTTGTATGAAACACCATAAGATTAGTTTGTGCTAAAACCTAACACCTGTGTAGTTTTCCTGAAAAACACTCATTGTGATATTTAAGTAGGGTTAATCTTGTGACTGTTGCAAGAATATTCAAAAGATGATTCATTTTCAGTATTATACGACATGATTAACAAGACTTAATTTGTCTAATACCAGAGAAATCTCAGATTACCAGTCCTATGTATTCCAAACCTTGGACTACACCAGTCCAATGGGCAATAAACCACAAGCTCGGATCATGGTGTGTTTGAAACTTTGTTTTTCTTTAATTTTCAACATAATAGAAGCAATGAAAACTGCAAGTAACAGGAAAATGTCACACATACCCGAGACTTGTCAAAAATAAAAACAACTTAAGGTTCGGCTGGAAATATGGACTGATCAGTATATACAGGAACAACTTGATAAAATACAATAATATGAAGGTGTTTTCTATTCCAGCAGATAATTATTTTCCAAGTGGATTCACGATCCATTTCTGTGTACTCGCATCTTGTAACATGATAAATTCCAACTCTCTTAAAGACAAGAAAGCCATGTTAAATCTTCTCTGGATAAAGGTGAAAGTGAACTTCAAAATAAAAAAATCTGATCCAAATTTTCCTGGTGAGAAATAAATAAGTTTATTTGCAAGTTAACCTGTTACAGTTGATGAAGCAGCTGGCGTGTAAAAACCTGTATGTGAGAAGCATATTTTAACAAATTGTACTAAACCAAACTTGTGTAAACATAGGACGCTTACTACAAAAGAAAATTAGTTCGGGAATATTCACATCATTTATTAAGATTGACAACAAATATATACATTAAACTTTCTATATTAAGAACAATTCCATAATCCACTCACATGAAATATTACTAATTATAGTTAACAGTGAAGATTGTGTAATTGTAAGACTAGAACATAATTATTTTTAAACTTAACAAAATCCAGCTATCTTAGGTAAATTATATACAAAAATTGATGTAAAATCAACAGGTTTCTTCTATACATCAACTTTAAAACATTTGTTTCCAAGTTTAGCAAATGTAGAACTTCTACAGAAACTGTATTTCATAAGCTGAAGATAATGATGCCTTGCAGCTACTAGTTGATGTATCAACATAAATAATAAAAGACATGAAGTTACACATATAATGATTTGGTGGATTTTTACAGGGTTGAAGTATGTATGTATTTCATTACACTGATGTTGATGATAGAATGGAAAATAAAATATGAACATTTACCTGAGTCTAGAGGTTATGTAAATGAAAATTTTAAGATAATAAACAGTATTTCTATACTTCCTATAAAAATCACCTTGTATGTGAACTATTGAGAGAGCGGAGAACTACATTAAATAACAAATTTAATATTTTAGTTTCATGTTCTTGTGAAATTTCCCACAATTTCATCCACTAGTTATATTTTTGTAGTAAGGAAATGTGACAAGAGGTGTAAAGATTAAACTGAAGACCATATCCAAAGAAAAAACAGCTTATTTACCTTGTAAATAACGTACAACCAAGTATTCAGATAAATACTTCCAGAAAATTAAATTATTATGTGGAACTACCATTTTAAATCTCGTACAAGGTAGAGATAATCTCGTATTCTCAAAAAATAACCACGAGGCTCGCTAAGTGCAGCAATGGCTTTGAGTACTTTATGTTCGTTCCTTCTCATGTACATCTGAGCATCTGTCTTTAGCTGCTCCAGTTTATCTGGTCTATTCTCATCTAGGGTGATTGGTTCTGACAAGTAAGGGTTCAGTCGGAAGTAGCTATTAGCAGGAAGCAGGTCGTGTAAAATTGTATGCGTTCCTGAAATAAAACAACCAATTGTAATACACTACGCAAATATAACATTAATAAAAACATTCTCTTTAAATAAGGATGAGTATGACAACAAGGACTAAACACTGACAGAAAGAAAGTGGAAGAAAAATGTTGTTTCCTTTTATTTGATAAATTCTTTTCCTTACCAATTCCAGTGAAGGAAGGGTAATGCTGAGGACAAATCCATTATTTATTTTGTTACTTCTACTGCAGCAAACAAGTTTTCCTGAATCTACAGCTCATCAGTGTAGTCTTCATGTAGCGCAAATAGTTTGCTGTTTCATGTCATGAAAGATGAACTTCCCTAAACCCTTTTAAGTGCTGAAATGTTTTACTTGGAATGGCTTATACTCTGTATATCCCCTAATTGGACATTTTATTTTTCCAAAAAAATTAATGTAGGGAAAACAAAGAAAAATAATTGAATGTAATTCAAAATATTCATCATGATTAAAAATCAAAACATAACTTTATACATCAGATGCTGTCGAGAAATTGGCATATCAGGTGAAATAAGTCCCGAGTAAGACGTTTAGGCCCCACAAGTCTACTATGTATATATGTACGTGTAAACATAATTTATGGACATTAAGGGACCTTGTTGATCCATCTAGACCATCCACTAAACTTTTAAAGTAAAACATCAAAGACTTTCCTTAAATTAACTGCATCAACCACATCTGAAGGCACCCCATTCCAAAGGTCAAACACCCTGTCAGAGAAATAAAATTTGGGATTGTGAAGTACCAGTACATTGTAAGGTGGGTGTTGAGTTTAGTTGTGACTTTCAGTACTTAGGGCTTTATTTGGAATTGTGGGTTATGAATTGTCCATACTATGTAATTGACTTTTGGCATAGATGATGACACATTTAGATTTAGTAAGAAAATTTATCAATATGAAACAAAACAATTGACCATATTCAACAATAATTTGTTTAAATACACAATTCTTCTATTGCTGTGGAAGAATAAGCACTAGGAAGGTAAGTAACAAGGAAATAACATGCTTATTATGTTATACGTGGTTGTACCATAGACAATTCAGCACACCATAACGTTTTTGGAACATGGGACCTATTAGTCGATAAATTTTTTTAAAAATCTGAAAGCCAGCCCTTATCATTCATATACTTATCAAGCTTTCTCTTAAACTCACTTAAATTTACTAGCTCCACAACATCAGAAGAAAACCCATTCCAAAAGTCAACCACCCTGATGAAACTTAGTTGAATTGACTGCAAGTGTTTGTTGAAGAAACAAGTGTAGACAATGACATTTCAAAAGTTTTTCATCTTCAGATCCTGAAGACAAAAGGTGGGGGACTTTCAAAATGTCATCATCTGCACTTGTGTTTCTACAACAGGCAGTTGCCATCCATTCAACTAAATTTCATCATGAATACTCTGCCTAAACAATCTATCAAAGTCAACCACCCTATTAGAGAAATAAAATTGTCTAGGTTGAAGATGACTCCTACTCTGCCAAAATTTATATCTGTCTCCTAGTGCTACCATTCTCACTATTAAATGTAATGATGCATGAACACTATCAGTTCGTTTAACAATCTTAAACACCTCAATCAGATCTGCACTAACTCTTCACAGATCTTAATCTGTACTTTTATGACAACCTTTCCATCCCAAGTATCATCCTCTTTCTTAAGGTAAGGCACACAAGACTGAGCACAATACTCCAAATGTGGCCCAACCAGTGACCTATATGATGAAATTATAACCTTTTTAAATGTGCATTAAATATGTCTATAGATACAACCTAAAATCCTATTTGCCCTACCACTAGCAACAGCATGCTGCTTGGATAGCTTAAAAGACTAATCAACCAAAACACCAAAATATTTTTTTTCCCCATGACACTACTTAATGTTATTCCAATCTAAATTATGCTAATAATTCATACATGCATTTATTATAATTAAAAATCATCTATCATTTTTTTGCCCAACTCAACAGGTAATCCACATTCTTTTGTAAAGCAACAGAATCCTCCTGAAAGCCACAACCTTAATATCATCAGTAATTGTAAGTAATTTATTGATTATTCCTTCATCTATGTCATTGATGTACATCTAAAAAAGTTCCAACACTGAGCCCTGAGGTACCTCACTCATGGCATTAATCCAGTTTGACTAAATTCCATATATAACAACCCTCTGCCTTCTTCCATACAGCCAACCTGTCTCTCACACCTACAAAGATGATGTTTTCAACAAACTATTCATGTGGCACCTTCTCAAATGTTTTCTTAAAATCCAGAAGCACCAAATCCACACTTATATCCTTCTCTACATATGTGGTAACCTCTTCAAAGAATGCCAAAAGGTTAGTAAGGCAAGATTTTCCTTTAGTGAAATCACACTGACCATCCAACAAAATTTAAACCCTAGGGGAAACACTATGTGGCCCAAAAACCTTATCAATTTTTTCTACACAAGCTAAGAATTAATGTAATCATTCTGTTCACACTGTAAACTGTTCAAGATGAGGAATATTAAAAAAAAAGAAGGTAGAATTTAATAACCAGCTATTTCGTAATCATCAAATATGACCCTGTATCATCCCTCAAAGGCCCTGCTCCTATCCTACCATTTTGCTTACCCTTAATGCAGTGGTTTCCAAACTGTATGTTGAAAGAAGCTGCTGGGGTTTTGCGAGAGTTTCGCCAAGTGAAGAATAATTAAGTATATAAAAAACATTGCAAGTGGCAGCAGGCAAGTCAAGGTAAGTGAGTTGGAGTGGCTTCAGTGAAAATTGTTTAGGAACCATTGCTGTAATGTATTAAAAGTAATCCTTACTATGAAATATTTACCTTTTAAACTGAAGAAAAGAGGGAAGCTTGAACAGTTGAAAACTAAGACTTAATAACATACAGTCAGGTTAAGAAAAGGTTGTCAAGGGTAAATAGCACAAAGAGAAAACGAGAGAGAAAGGTGAAATTCAGAAGGTTATTTACAATTTGTTTAACATTTTTCCAGGAAAGTGTGAACATGTTACATAAACAGAAAGAAAGAAGTCAGAAAATCAACAAAAAAAGCTGACATAAGATGTACTTCATGTATCATTAGGCACTATACAGTTTCTATGTTCACATAAGTTGCTTTAGTGAAGAAAATGAAATACTTAAAATATTTTAAACTGCAGTTATAATATTTTTACCTTCTGTATTTGTTGCACTGTCTACAATCTTGACTACTTTCATTTTCAAACTAGTTGAAGTAGGGGCATCATAAGAGAATGGTATGTGACGACCATTTCCAATAGAAATGATGCACTGAATATTTTCCTGTGGCCAAAGCAACTTTGATTCATGTACAGCTACAGCAGTCGGATTATTCATCATAAGCCCTCCATCCTGACCAATAAACAAATAATGCTTGTAGTACAATAATTAGGTGTTAGTTTTTAATAAAAGCCCTCCATCCTGATCAATAAACAGATAATGTTTTTAGTACAATAATTAGGTGCTAGTTTTTAATAAAAGCCCTCCATCCTTATCAATAAACAGATAAGGATAAAAATTGTAGTACAACAATTAGGTACTTGTTTTTAATATAAAACATCAATTAAATCAGGTGGTTTCTAAACCTTGTATAAAATTAAATTCCAATTCCTTTGAGCCTATAATTATATATGAATTTGTAAATCATTATTCATATATTATTTAGTCAGGACAAGATGGTTTGCTGAAATTTTATCTTGCAGAGTTTCAATATGATCAGTTTGCTGTTCTCAAATTATCGATACTTTAAAACATACACAATAAAGGCAATTTATGATCAGATAAATCACAGAAAAAATTATTATGGCCAAAATAAACAATAAAGAATTTAACAGTTGTGAAGAGCACATTTTAATTTCCAATGCACGCACGGAACACATTCACTA